ATCATGAGACAATCGATCACCATGAATTTATTGTTATTCCTTCAATCGAAAAACTCAAGAATATCAAACATAAATTCTATCTTCTCTATTCCCGATCTGCTTATATGCTTAAACATAAGCGATGGCGCTATTTCAATCGAACTGATGTAATCAATAATCATCCATACTCTGTTCATTTTGATATCTTCTCATTGAGGACGAATAATAGTATCAAAGAAGTTGGATCTTGGCATTATCCAATCTATTTTGACTATTTACCAGCTTTTCGTTTTGCCGTGGTTTTGAAATTTCCGTCTTGGTTTGGAAATGCAACATCTGAGCCGTGTTGGAATCATAGCTGCAATGCGAATGCTACTTGCATGCCAGTTTTCAATCGAAACAATTCTTACTATTGTTCGTGCAAAAGTGGATATTATGGGAAAGATTGTAGCTTGTACGAACCCAGTTGTGAGAGTTACTGTTCAACTAATGCACTTTGCCGGCACGATGGTTCTGATCTGCAGGTTAGTAGAATCAACTTTTATTGCATCTGTCCGCTAGGTCGTTTTGGACCACATTGCAATTTGCAATACGATGAGTGCAATTCGAATCCATGTCTGAGCGATGGAACTTGTGCTCCTAATTATGATATGAGCGGAGAAGCATCGTACATATGCATCTGTTCACAACGATTCTATGGAAATCAGTGTCAGAATACGAAGGCATCTGTTCACATTAATTTAAACATAGCAAATATATCGTCTGTTCGTGCAACTGTTGTTCAACTTTACAATATTGGGAAACCTTCTTTTTTGCTTATCATGCAACACGGAAAAGTTTATCATGGCGTGCCATCGGTAGTTCAATACAATCATGCTGATTTTTATGCACCATATGTTGGAGTTCTCAAAATTTACGAAGATTTCGCACATCCAAAATATTTCATTATGTATGCTTTGCTTCAAATGATGATCAATATCACCTCATCACCAGAACACTGTCCACATGTTTCATCGCTGTTATCCGAGTGTAAGTTCTAAGATAAATTGAAACTTTCAATTGATATGATATTACTTTTTAGTTACAAATAGTTCCGTACCAATCGTCTTCAGATATCATCACATCTGTCAAAATGATAATCAAAGTTTCTGTTTTCATGATGAAAACTATTTATGTATATGTGATTCAGATAATTATCGTGCCGAATGCTTTATTCACAATCCACAAATAGATCATTGCGGTAATTGTCTCTCTGGAGGAAAGTGTCTTCAAGGTGATCCAGTCGACCCCAACGACTTCACTTGTTTTTGTCCTTCTTGTCATCAAGGACATAGATGTGAATTGAACATGCAAGCCTTTGGCTTCACTCTAGACTCACTTCTTGTCGACTACTCGAAAGAAGTTAAGATCGTCTTTGTCGTTCTCGCTTTCATAATTTTCATCCTTGGACTATTCAATAATCTTTGCTCGTTTGTAACGTTCAAACAACCTGCTCCTCGAAAGTTTGCTGTCGGTAAATATTTATTAATTGTCACCTGTTTCAATCAACTCGCTTTGCTCTGTCTGCTCTTCAAATTCATCCAAATCACTTTCGGTATCTCTTATGTGGGATCGTGTAAAGCAATTTCTTATATTTTCACCGTCTTTACACGATCGACATACTGGCTAACCAGCTGGATTACCATTAATCATCTTCTCATGGTTCTATTTCCAACATCGGTTTCTATCAAAAATCCTCGTCGAGCTATCGGAATAAGTACTGTTACATTGGTCATCCTTCTTGGTATGCATGTGCATGAAATAATATATTACACAATCATTGAACACATTCACATTAGTTCATCCATCTGTGTGACAAACTTTGACACCTCTGTGGTCTCGATCTACAATCGAGTCTCTACTCTTATCCATTATCTTCTCCCGTTCTCTATTCAAATCACCTCCATTACCCTCTTGATTGTTCTCGCTGCACGCAGTCGACTGAAGACGGCTGGAAAAAAGATAACCTTTGGTCAAATATTGAAAAAACAGTTTCAAACTCAGAAAGAGCTCTATGTTACTCCAACGATTATTGTTATCTCTGCTCTGCCTCAAACCATTCTCACATTCAGCTTGGCATGTACGCAACTGGCCGACTGGCAGCAGCACACATTACTTGGGGCCTATATATTGTCATACGCCCCACAGGTACTCGGCTTCATTCTCTACGTATTGCCATCGACCAGTTATAGGAATGAATTTGGAAAGACATCATTCGGCAAGAAATTCTTCAAATCGATGTTTGATCAAGGGAAGAGCCAACCTGTCGTTTCAAAGACACCAAAGAAGGCAAAAATAATGGCATGAATAACTGTTTTTGTTTATATCGCTTTAAGGATGTGAGTGTCGATGTGCTAAGCAAAATATGACGCGTTTTGATCTTGCTTAAGGGTCTATTTAGATGGCTTCAACTTTGTATTCCCTCGAAATGAACAAGAAGACCACAAGTACAATACATAATCTATAAACTTCAGCGGTTAAAATCTTCGGTATGAGTGCGAGTGTGGATCTGGGTGGGTACGAGTGTAGGTGTGGATGTGAGTGTGATGTGGATATGGGTGTGAGTGTGAGCGTATTATGTCTGTGATAAACACACTCACGCTCATCCGCCCACACCCACACTGAAGACTCTTCTGTTGTAAAACTCGTTTTATTTAGTGTATGAATATTGGAACTAACTCCGCTGAAAAAGTCTCATTCGCTATGATACTCATTCTATATAATCTATGAATACTTCAATTAGATTCACTTAAATAGAGTTTTTCTTTGCGTGAGAAGTAACTTAATGAAATGAAATCGAGTATGTGGGTGTGGTTAATACTCTTAGCACCATTCACACACTCAACCTACACCCACACCCACCCTGCATCAAACTAAACAGATTTAACATTTTATTCTAATGATCAATTTTATTGGCGTCATATGTTATGTTGATTTTCCATATATAGAATATATATTATGGGTATCAGAGAAAATCTTTTGACAAATGTTGATTTTTCTCGATTTTGTTTTCCCCAATTCAAGTGACACAAGAAAAAAAACTGGAATTGTGTTGACCTTCGAATAATAAGTTATCTTAATTCAGCGTCAAATATCTTGTCTTTTGAAATATTAAATAAATGTATGTATTATAGATTGCCAAATACTGTTTTACTAAAGTTGTATAGCTACTATTTTGAGAGTGTTAATGTCAGGAAACTCTTCTTTTGAATAATGAAGAATTTAAGCATCCAGCTATCTGCCGTAAAATGTTATAAGCAATATGCCTACCTGCGTTTTTTAATAATTATGACAGTAGTATCCTAGTATATTTTGCGGCTCAACCAGAAATTAAAAAGAGTGTGAATATGTTTTGATTAGACTCCACTAGAGTCCTGCACGGGTGCACTTTTTAGTACCCGAAACCGAACCGGC